TGAGTCTTAACTAAGATGATGCGTAAAATGTTTATCACAGCTAGCATACAGGAAAGGCACAACAAATGCTAACAATTACCATCATCACCTTATTAGTCCACACAACATATCATAATAGGCTATCGATGCTGCGTGTCTATATGTACTCTTATTAACACCTGCAGCATTTTTTTCTGCTATTTGTTCTAATAATCTTGGGTAGTCTATTTTACCAAGTCTACAGACAGAATGAAAATGAATGGGTCCAGAGTACATAGGCCATCCCTCTATCATCCCAATCCATTCTCAGAAAGAGACGTTCAGTGTTCCCTGAAGCTGTGATGGTGAACAGGGCACGTATCATAAGCACAGCTTGTTTTTCAGCATTTTGTTGATAGCTCTACTTTAGGCAACCACTGCTCCCTCTGAAAACTATTTGCACACAGTATTTCCAATCACATAATTTAAAATTTCTATCAAAAAATAAAAAAATTTGACCTAATCCAAATAAAATGTACTAACCTCACTGATCACATCTAAAAGTCCAAATGGCTTTTATATGTGGAGATGGCATATAGACGGCAAGTTTTGTTGCGTGGTAAAAAAGCAAGTATTTATAAAACCTCTTATCACCTACATTCAGCTTTAAAGATTAAAAAAATTTTTTGTCAGAAGTTGAAGTCAAGCATCTTCCAATATTACTCTCCACCTATTTTTGAGATGGGGTCTGGTCTCTCACTGAAGAGAGACTAGACTGGTTGGCCAGCAAGTCTCAGGGATCCTCCTCTCTCCACCGAGTTCCCCACATTTACTCGCACTGAAGTTACAGGTGCACAATGCCATACCTGGCTTTTTACATGAGTGCTGGAGATCTAAACTCAGGTCCTCATGCTTGTGGCACTAGCCACCTTACCCACGGAGCACTCCCCAGCCCCCCAAATATGATTTTCAAGTTCTACTTTTATGGAATTTACTTAAAATATGGCACCTGCAAAAAGCAAGCTTAAAATCCGCTTCTCTGCAAATTTCCAAAGATTAGTCTCAGTGCTTTCTCTTTGCTAGAGGAATCAGAATGTAATTGTAAAACTTAGAAGTACTTACTTAACTATGTGGCTTCAGCCCATCTCCCTGTCAACCCTTAGATGCCAGAGCAAAGGTGTTTTTTTTTTTTGTACTACCAGGGATTGAACCTATGCCCTCAAGTGAAGTGAAGTTTTTTGTAATACTTTTAAAGGTAGTTTTTGTAGCATGATTTTGAACTATGTATATATTTTACATATTCACAAATAAAAGTCCTAAAAGACATCTCCAATTTTAATAAGAAGCAGTGATAGTGGTATAATTTAAAAATATTTTGTATAGAGAGCAAATACACATTTTGTTAGCATGATTTTTATTTGTGACAAAAATAGAATCAAAGATGAAAAATGCTTGCTCTGCTAATGTGGATTGGTCAGATCACTATGAAGCCATGATTAAAGCAAGCAAAAACAAACAAACAAAAACCCCATTTCTCTTCTCAAAAGGGCCTAGAAGCAATGACACTATCGTAGCAACGAGCATGCCATTTTTGTAGATCTTGGTTTGTATATTCCATTTCTCATTGTAAAGACCAAGACTCCCTGGATAAACAGCCCTTTCCAGACGATGGAGCAAAGAATGTACAAAAGTAGTCTAGAGTGTCTTATGCCAAAGAGCTAAGATTAATGGTGAGCCTAAGTGTCAAGACACAGCAGCCAGTTTGAAAGAGTTCCTATCACCAAAGTGATCCTTAAAAAGAACAAAAATTGGTTATAAAATGAATAAATAAACAAAAACTCCCTAATGGTTCTATTCCCCCCAAATCTCAAGTCCCCATTAGTTATCATAACATCCCTAAAATGGAAAAATTCTACTTGCTCATTAGGATAATTATTTCCCTAGCTCTTTACTCTGAAAACTGATAAAATGATGAAATCAAGCATTTAAGTATTTTTAGGGAGCATTTCATTCATATCTAATGAAGAAAATCTTTTTTAAATTAAAAAATTAAAAATTAAAAAAACATAAAAAACTTTAAAAAATTAAAGCAAGAGTCATCTATGAATGGATGCTAAAAATCACTAAACAAAGTCAGAAACAAGTTATTTGCTTCCTGTTAAAGTTACTACCTTAAGGTCATATGCAATCAAACTGTCAAACCATACCTTTACAAAAGATCTTGTACTCACCACTTTAACCAACTATTCACATTCAGCATCACTAAGTGCAGCAATCTGACATTATTTACCTCCTAATATGATGCAATGAAGTACACAGCATCATCTATTTTAAGTATTCTTGCCAAATAAAGTTTCACTTTAAGTTAATTAAATCTTTATTCTAGGAATGTCCAATCTTTTGGCATTCCAATGCTCCATGGTCATGTGCAAAGATCTCAAAGGAACTGTACAATCAAGTTACCAAAACAAACAAAACCTACACACAAAAATCCCATCATGTTTTAAGTTTACAATTTGTGTTGAGCGATAGTCATATTAATCCTAGGCCTTATGCAGTCTTGGGCCACCGATAGATGTCTGGAAACAAACTCATAACAAGGACATTCAAGAAAGAGCAGTGAATGAAATGACTGCTAGAAGACAAGGTCAAGGTTGCAATGTGGACATATTCTACAACTGGTTCAGTCAATTAGGTCCCGGAAAAATGTGGGTGGTAGGGCACTACCCTTTAAAAAAAAAAAAAAAAAATTCATTTTTTTACTTTGGTGTATGAGTGTATTGCTTGAATGTATGTGAGTGCACCCGTGCCGTGCAATGCCGAGGTGAGAAGAGGGCTTCATATTCCCCTGGAACTGGAGTTAAGGATGGTTTGTAGCTACCATGTGGGTGCTGGGAATCGAACCCAGGTCCTCTGCAAGAGCAGTCAGTGCCCTTAACGGCTGAGCCATGCCTCCAGCCCCCGGCACTACCCTTCTTAACAAAAGGGACTAAGTACCCTTAATCACCAAATGCAGCAAAAATCTTGATTGACTATAAGTGTGAGGCTTCAAAAACACTTTGGAAAACAGAGGAAATTTAAATATGCTAATTTTGATAGGTATTGTTATTGATAATTGTATTTTTAGGAACTATATAGTTGAAATATTTAAGGGTCAAGCCTGGTGGTAAGTGGTGGTGGGCAACACCTGTAATCCCAGCACTCAAGAGGAAGCAGCAGACTCTGTCTCAAAAAACAATCACTGAATCTAGGTGCTGTTACATTCACTGTATTTTCACTCCAACAACTCTAAGACTGAAAATTTTCATGCCATAAAAGAAATCATCAGTGGTGGGCTGATGGTGGAGCAGACTTGAAGACGGAGGACTTTCCCATGGTGGGCAGCAGTTTCGGCCCTTCTCTAAGTGGCTGCATTCCCCAGAGCTCCCTCCCTGGAGGTCTCAGATTGTGAATGGCAGAGGCTTTGCCTCAGTGTTGTACTTATGCTGGGGACAGAAAGGGAAGGATTGAGTCATATGCAGACTCTAGTCTTGGGAGGACTGATTCTCCAGAATGGACTTCCCACCTCCCCTGATGGCCAGCTATTATCTTGACTCCACACATGGTCCTGAGCACTAAGGCCTCCACAGTGGACCTTTTCCATTCCCAGGTATCAAAAGGTTTTCCATTATTTTTCTATTACTCTTTAACAGCCCCAGTGTACCTTCACCCCTACAGAAAATGTAAAACATTCAACTGAACTTCTAGAGATAAAAATCATAGCCTGGGAAGTTAAAAAAAATACACACACACACACACACACACACACACACACACACACACAGAAATATTATGCCTACTGAGAGCTACAGTAGACCTGATTACACCTACCCAGAACCTTACCTGGGTTCAATTCTACTTGCATAGCCTAAGGCAAGTTACTAAACACTACTAAGTTTCTGTCTGAGCTCTAAAATTCAAATATATTATCTATCTCATTAGGTTCTGAGAATAAAACTACATGCATATATGCTATGCATTTAAGTATGCATAGCAGGGTTGAACAAAGTAAATCTGGCTTTCACAATCAATGAATATAATCATCCTTAAATACAAGAGTGTAAGATAACATTTATATATTCCATAAGGGAAACTACATTAGCTACAGCTGATCACAAATGAAGTGGGAAATCAAAAATCGATAAGGGAGGTAAAAAACTCCCAGATTTATGTAGCATTTTTAAAACCAAGAATTAGAACCAAAAAAGGCAAAAGGAAATCAAACCTTTGGTATCTCATATTATGTAGTTTACTTCTGGTATTATCTCTGAATAAAAATGCTAATTCGTGAAACTTAAAGAGAGCCACCCCCCAACTCATTCAACAGATTAGTCTTAAACGCTAAATAAATAAATAAGTTTTGGTCTTCATTTCTGTAAGTTCCAAGAAAAAGTATACAATCACTGGGGTTTATAGTAGATTCTGGCTAAGGTTCACACAAATCAAAACAGATGCAATTTCCTTTTTAAATCAGTTCTAACGTACTTGTCATTTGCAGGTAATTCCTTTTTTTGGTTTTTATTGTTTTTTGGTTAGGCCGGCAGTAAAACGACTAGATGCATAATGATCCTCAGGTAGGGAAGAAAAGGTGTTGGCATTCTCTCCCTCTTTTCTTTTTTAAAAAGAAGTGCCATCTTTCTCATTCCAACACCAGGAGGAAAGCAGCAGGGGAGAGGAAGGAATAAACAGGTCTCAGGCTCGCAGCTAGACCAGGTGAGCCGGTAACAAACATCTCGCCCGCTTAGGGTTGGCTGTTGGGCGGATGGCCGCGCAAATAAATCAGCTCCGCTGGAAGATTGGGGTGACTGCTCCCAGTTGGCGGGGGCCTAAGCCAGTCCCCCACCCCCGAGAAGATCCAATCTGCCAGGGAGGGGACTCTGTGGGGTGTCTCCCCGCGCGGACGGGGCTGACACCTCAGGGTCCCCTTTCCCTCCAGCGCCCAGGAGGGCGACGCGTGGAGTCGGTCCCCGGCCACCCCCCAGTTGGCTTCCCCTCCCCGTTACCTGCGGGCGGTGTGGCAGGGGCCCGGAGGCCTGCTACTGCTCCTCCTCCTCCCCGCCAGGCTGAGGCGGCGAGGTGGCGGCGGCGGCGGCGGCGACAACCTGGGGGGAGGGGGCGGAGCGCGCGGCTGGCTCCTCTCCTCCCCCAGGAGGCTCAGGGGACCCTATCTCGGGCCGCCGCGCCTAGGCCCGTGAGCAGCCTGGGGCTGGGCGCGCATGGCGGCGCCGCTCACTGGCGTGCCCGCGAGGTACGAGAGTGCGAGGCGCCGGGTGGAGAGCGCCCCGGCGGCCGCAGGGGCCTGAGGGGAGGAGCGAGGCGGTCGGAGCCGCGCGGGAGGCCGTTGGGGGCGGTTGCCGAGGGCGGGTGGCGGTTGGAGGAGCTCGG